CCAATCACCGTTTCTAGTTTTAATCATGAGGGACAATTACAGAGGAGAGCTGAGGACCAAATTACCACCACACAGACTACAAAGCCCGGTCTTCAGAGGATCGCCTCATCTCCTCTGTTCTATTGTCACTCCCTCTCTCCGTCTGTAATCTCTCTCTCTGTATTTTCCCTGCCTCTCCGCCTCTTTATTCTCCTGTCCTGTCTCCCAGCAGAATAGAATAAAACATGCTGGTGTTTTCCCTGCGTCCTACAAAGAAAATCTTGGTGCAAATTCCCTCCCAAGCAAATAGGAATCAGGCCTGCAGTCGCAGCTCAGTCTCAAAAGACTGACCCCTAAGTCTGCATCGGGATGTGTTGACACAACTGTAATTTAAAGGATAAAAACCAGCCCCTAACACTGTAAGCGCTGTTTAAAAAAGAATCACTAGTGTGGTAGCTTGCATTCTGATCTCACTTTATAGATCAATGTTGTGTTTTATTTGCTATTGCTTGATAAAAGGAAAAAAATGATGATATCACAGTATGTATTCCCAGCATCTAGTATAAAGAGAAATAGAAGAATGAAAATGTTGGTGTAACAATAATAATTACCAAACAGACTAATCAATTGCAGCGAAGGAAGTGATTGTTGACCAGAATGCAATGCAGGTTGTTGTAGCTGTGTTACAATTCAGAGGATGCATCACTGTCAGACCTTAAAGGCCAAAAATGAAGGCAGTTTGATCTACTGAGGTTTCTACATTTGTGTCAGCAGCTTGCTCCATGCTACATCTTTTGTTTGGGGGAATGGAATTTTTTATTATTATTGATTTATTATCTGTATCTTTACATTAGAAACCAAACTTGGTCATAATAAACTTTGTATTAACTGAGATGTTAAAGGTAGATCTCTCTTTAAATCATTAAATCATCCCCAGTTAATAAAGAATATGAATCTGAGCAAGATACAATGCGTTTGTGTAACTGCTGCAGGTCTGGAGGTTCGATAGTTTGTTCTTGACCACAAAATAGGATGGGATTTATTGAATGTCATAGATTGATGTAACACAACAGTAAATTACACATAGAGAGGATTTTCCTCAGAGGTGAGAACCAGCTGTGTTCTCTACTCTGATGTCTCCCCTGTAAGTTAAGCAGACTGGAAAAGAAAACACAGCTCCTGATCACAATGCTGCAACGAGCAACAAAACTCACCATCTGGCTACTTATCTTTCCCTCGCTTTTCTCTTGACCTTGTTGTCTCTGCCTTTAGTTTAAGAAAAAGATTGAAAATAAATTGGAGAGAGCAGAGAGATTGAAAAGAGAATGAGAAGACAATGAGGTAGAAGACGTAGAGAAAGAAAATGGAAAAAAAGGATCAGAAATAATAAGAGAAGAGAGAGATTCAGAAAAAGAAAAAAGCTTTTCTTGTGCTTTTTCTCCTTGTTCTGCCTCAATCTCTCTTTCTAATGCTCTCTCCCTCCCTCGCTCCCTAATGAAGTTATCTTTCTTACTCTGTCACGCTTCTCCTCAGTCTGGGTTTCCTACAGATAAACAAGACTTGGCAGCAACAAAACCTAAAATAGAGAAAACTTCAGGAGAGAAGCATTAGTGTGGAAGCTTTGAGCATCAAGTAAAATGTCACCTCTGCACTGCATAAGGTTTCAGAAAACAGCCGTTATTATGACTTTTAAGTGTCAGTTAATTAGGGAGATTAAATTAAAACTGTGATGTCTTCTACACCTGCGGCTCGACTTATTCTTGTTTTATGTTGTTTTGGGATTATAGCTGCCAATGGCTGTTTTCATAGGTAGATAAGCAAAAAGCAGGTCTTTTCACCACTGCACCTGCGTTTTAAATCCCAGTGGTGGCATTTCCATTTTGGCATTAGCAATTGGGGGGGGGGGGCAGTTGAGGCATCATTTGTGCCTCATTGTAATGAACAGTTCCCAGTGGTTGGTTGGGATATTTGTACAGAGGAGTGGCATCTATGGGACGAGTGGAAACATTTGGCTGTTAAAGCAACACAATGCAAGATGAACTCAACACGGGCTTGTCCTGCAGGTGGAATGTGTTATTCACTGTTGTTAATACCAGTTCTGGTCTGAGTGTCCTCATGTTCACAGCAGCTAAATGTTTGCACATTGAGTGCACTCAACTCAGAGTAGAACAGTAGTATAAAAGCTAACAAGCTAACACAGCAAAACAAGTAGCCGACGCAGTTGTAAATGTCTGAGCATGATGTGTATTAAAGAAATACAGCATTCATTTTACAAATAATCAACCAAGAAAAGGAACATTTAGCCAGCCTCCCCTTTTGTGCCTAACAAATATGTGTAGGCATCCTGTTACCATCCTTGCTGTGCCGACAGACTGGCTCCATCCAATAGAATGGGACAGCCGTCAGGATATTTAAAATTTGATGATAGTCAGTTTCAAGTTACCTGTTTAATGCAGAATTAAAATGTCTCTTTAGAATAAATTATCCTTTACGTAAATGATAAATGGACTATATAGTGCTTTTTTAGTCATATCAACCCCACAAAGTGCTTTAAATAGAAAAGTCCCATTCACACAGCACTTCTATGCACTGTAATTTGTTTTAATCACACACCATTCATACACTACTGGCAAAGCCGTCAGGGACAATTTGCAGGGTCAGTTTTTTGCCCAAGGACACTTTGGCAAGCAGACTGGAGGAGTTTGGGATAGAACCACAGAATTCCTGGTTATTGGACCTGGGCCCTATGCTGGTAAATGTGGGTGTGTAACTAGCTGCTGCACATTTGTGAGTGAGACATCTTGTGGAGCGAGAACTATGGCCATCCTCTAAGAAAAAACCCACAAAAACAATTTGAGTGCGTTATTAGTGCGTTATTAGGTTTTTGTATGTACCATTTATTTACACACCTACATTCATTGACATTGGGCCCAGGTTGAAAAACTGTGGAATACCCCTTTAAGAAGTGTTGCACTGTTACAACTAGACTGAGGCCTATTACCCTCCACCCAAAGTAAAAAAAACTGTCTACCGCAGCATTAACAAACAAACTTCAATAATTGTAAAATATGAGTTTTGGCTTGGGTTGGTGGATGAAGTGAAATGTGATACTTATTTCCAACACACTGCACATAAGCAGCTGTCTTACAATGTATGATATCAGGACCAGCTTTTGAACCTCCACAGCTCATTTAGAGGGTAAAATAATCCACTGCAAAGACATGTTCAGAATAAGTGTAGACGGTTGTCTCTCTCTCGTTTCACAGAACAGAAAGTCTTCTTTTTATCAACTAATGAACCAATGCACGATGACTCTGTCCTTTCTACCCTCTGGTGCACCTACTTAAGCATAGTCTCCACAGACAGCTATTTAAATCTGTAATGAGGTTATCTGTAATGACTGATAAGGGCTCCCAGTGTCACCGTGAACTTTCTGCTTTCACTGTAGGCAGGTCCCCCCCCCCCCGCCCTCTAGAAGTTGAGGGGAATCAATAAATAAACAGTGCTGATTATTTCCTCAGCGTGCTCAAGAGAAGGTCACTGTCCACTGACCACTTATGGATTGTGGACAAGGGCCTCTCTCTCCATAATTGTCACTACCTAATTGGAAGAAACCAGTCATAGAGGGAACAGAAGCTCTCTGCTATTTAAAGAAATATCCAAAAACTGCTGTTGTTATATTATTATAGTAAATAATAATAGTTTTTCACAACTTTTTCATCTCCCAAGGAATAATTATTGGATCTTGAAAAACAATATTTAGAGGGATGATATAAAATTTGAGTAACACTTTATATTAGGGAACACACAAAGTGAACGTATCCAAGCTCTTAATTGAAGTTCATGTACAACAACTTCCTTACTTACTATCAATAAGCAGTAATTAGGAGGTTATTAAGGGAAAACTGTTAATCAATGGAGTAATTGCAGAATAAGGTCATTAAGAATAAGGCATTAATAAGTGCTTTATAATGACTAATAAAGAGCCATATGCCTCTAATATCCATGCTAATAAGCAACTATAGTTAACGGTTGATATGTGTTCCCTAATATAAAGTGTTATCAAAATTTGGTGTGATTGACTGACTTTAAGGGGAATGTAAGGTCTTGTTGGAGGCAAGTGCTGTTCTTGTTCAGTTAAGCATTTCTTCCCTGACTTTCTCCCCCAGAGCAGCCTCAGTAACCCTTTGCTGCTCGAGCTGCTGTGTAAATAAATGGTACATGTTATTTATCTTTTCATGTTGTATCATCAGCTTGAGGTAATTTTTTTCCTCTCTCTGGGTTTGGTTTTTTTCCATTTTGCACATTCAATGCTGATATCAATTGCGAAGCAACTGCGCCACAATTCAGTTTTGCTTTCAGATGACATCAGCCCAGAATGAAAACAGCTGACTCCCTGTATGTATGGGTGGGGCCATTTTGCTCTGGTTTCAACAACCCACTACTAAACAGGAAACCTGGTGTTTCTGAAGATTCTCAGATGAACTGCAGTTTGCAGGAGTCCAGCTGAATTTTAATGCTTTCGGACCGAGTTCAGAGTTAAGAGCAGCCATATTTGGCATACAACCTCATTTCCATACGAAATAGGAAGATGGCCCAGACAAAAACAAAGCTGATCTTGTCAACCTCAGTGTCAGTGTTTTTATTCATCAGTTCAGTTTTTTTCATGTAAGTACAGTCATAAAAATGATGAGTGAGCAGGCAAACAAAGATGTCCTCTCTGACCTCCAGGTCCAGCCTTCCTGTCCCCTCTCTGTCTGTTTGTTATAACCTTTGTGCGCCCTTGCCAGGTGTGTCTGTGTGTGTGTGCACTGTATGTTCAAGTCCTCACTGCAGCTGCCTGGTGGATGACCTGTTTATGGAAGGTCACTCTGCGTAAACAGGCTCAGCAGCATTCTGTTCATCTGAAGGTGGACTACAGTGCCACTGGACTTCCCCTCAAATACTTTGAAAACTTTGCCCACCCACACTCACACATTTACTAATTCATGCTCGTGTTTCTTCTTCTTCTTTGTCTGTAGGTGTGTGGTTGAAGTCGGAGGAGACGGTGGCACTGAAAACAAAGAGGGCTGACTTTGCTGCTGCGTTCCTGCGCGGCCGGATGGTCGTAGCAGGAGGACTTGGTAAGAGAGACAAATGGTAAACTAAAACTTCTGCAAAAATTTTCCAATCAGTCGCCCCAACAACCATCGATTGACTATATATTTGCACTGGGGCGCACGCAAGTATCAGCAAATGCTATTATGGAAGAGTTGTGAGCCCTTGTGATCAGCTCTCAGCTCGCTCTATATGCAAATAAGCATGATTGTTATTTGTGTTCGTTTAGATCAAGTTGGTTTTACCCAATCTGTGTTTACAGATGTGTCAATGACTGTAAATATGGGCAGCTATAAAAACAGCGATTGCTCATGTAAGAGAAGTATTGATCAGTATGTGGTGATCAGTGTTGATAATGTGGCAGCTATTACAAACAAATCAAAGTCAACATCATCCAAGACGAAGTGAGTGATTGGTGTCAGGATGAAGTGAGTGAATGAATGAATGATGTGGGCGTGGGGGTGCCTCGGAGAGCACCTCCAGCTGTACTAGGGAGGGTAAATTGGTATAGCTGAGTCCAGTTGGACAAATACTCTCTATGGATTTAAAGGCAGCAGGAGAGCTGCTACAGGGAAAAACCAAGCGGCAACAGCCGGGTCTGAGAGGTGAAGCTGATGCCAAAGTGTAAAAAACTGCAGTTCACTGAGTGGCCACTTGATGGTGGCTCCAATAATAAGTTAATCCCCATTGAAAAGCATGAGCCTGCGCCTCAGAGTCCGGGGACCAGGAACAGGAGCGGGCGTCAGCTTTACTCCCGACTGGGAAGAAAGAATAGCTTTTCAGCATGTTTCATTTAAAAGAAACAGCTAAAATACTTGATTTAACTAACCTTAGAGCCAAAAACACAACCTTACAGCAGCAGCAGCAGCAGCAGCAGCAGCTTAGTTCTGTCTTTCTCTATCTTCATATGTGGCAGTCTCTACTTCATGTGTTTCTCCCTGTGGCAGCTCTCCTGCTGCCTTTATATCCAGGGAGAGTTTTGGTCTGAGCCAAATGCAAGCCCACTAATGAGTATATATGATATAAAATATAATTAAACTAAAAAGGCTCCCATGTTAATTATTTGAGTTGAATGAATTCTCGAGGTGAGAGACCATTATATGAGCAAAATAAAATGACTGTCGCCCTAAAAAGCTTAATTACTTTGCTTTTTATGTTTGTTTTTATTGAACTTGATATCTTAAGATCAACTCAAGGAAATATGGTCAAATTTGGTACAAACATTAACTTAGACACAAAGATGAACTGATAACACTTTTGTGCTAGAAGGTCAAAAGGTCAAGGTCACATGACCTGGTGTTGTTTTGAAGACAGTTCATGAAATAACTAAAGGGATTTTCATTACATTCGTGTTCAAAGGTCAAGTTCACAGACGCCTCAATTCCCTGTAAATGTGATGTATTAGGCCTGCCCGTAGAGAATTTCATTACATCTGGTAAAATTCAATTGGACTCAAAGATAAAGTGATTACATTTCAGTGGTCAAAGGTCACAGTCACCTTACAGGAATCTGGGGAAAAAAGTATTTAGAAATATGTTCACTGAAACTGCACTGGTTGGTGGAGGCATCCAACCGCAGTGCAATAATTCTAGTTTATCAGCTGAAGCATTTAATGTCTGTCTGTCTGTCTGTCTGAAACTGTGTTCTCTCGAATGAGGACTCTGTTTCTATAAAAGTCAAGATGTTCATTTTGTATTATGGTCCCATTTAGGGTCAAATAGACGATAAACAACTGTATGCATTCGGATGTAGACACCGTGTGATTGACAGCTAGTACTGTACAATTGGTGCAGGTCCCCAAGATAACTTTTCAATTAATCGACCATCAGCACAGCAAACTGATAACCGTTGCATAGGATTATAGCCTGCAGTGAAATCATTAGGAACAAACTCCAGCACCATCAGAGCTATTTCTGCCTTATCAAGTTTATTATTTCAGGCATTTTATTACTTACATACAATTATATTTGCACTGGAAATTTAATCTCTAAACTCTAATATCTTATATTAATAAAAAATAACAATGCACTGGCTGTCTCTTTAAGAAAAGTACTAATGAAGCATTGCGTTAGTTCATGCAAGACCTTTAGTCATGTGCTCAGCTGCCAGCTACCAATAGGTTATGGGTGCTCGTCATCCACCCACCAATCACAGCCATTCTCTCACCAAAGCGGTCTCTTTAAATACGACCTCATCCTCACTGATCCCTGCTCAGCTACACTGGCATCTACGCCTTCTGCCGGCAGCTTGCCTCCACCACCCCAGCCTCCACCTTTTAGCACCGAGTCCGAACACGGTCGCAAACGATATTCATCCTAAACAAAGGTACACTGCCTGCTACACCCAGGGGGGTTCTTTATTTATCTAATTGGTAAATCATGACATAGTGTTCCTGACTGAACAATATATATTTGACTTGTTATTGTCTTTTGAGACTTTAAAGTTCTGAAGTTCTAAAGTTCCCTCAAATCCGTTTTTATGCTGGCTTCATCAAAATAAACAAAACATAAATAATTCAGAGGAGGTATATTAATTCACTTTGTGCTGCAGCATCAAAAAAAGAGATTTATCAAATTCAACAGCAACATCTTTTTTGAGTTTCTCATGACATCCACGGAGCATGACGTCCACCGTGTTAATTGGTGCTGCTTTCTTTTGAGAAATAGTTGCAATGAAAGCTGTTTATGGTTTGTGGTGAACACTCGCCCTCATAGAAAATATCTCCCCACCCTCAAAATTTAACCCCTGGATAGAAAAATAGTTCAAACACCTGATTAACTGCAGCATTTTAGCTAAATTCTGATGTAAATGTAAATCTGCGATAAATGAGATTTTCAGGATATATAAGTTCGAATATGAGCCAGTATAAAAGAAATATACGTGTTTGGATATGTCTGCTGTGACTGTATGTGTTTTCATGTCCTCCTATATCCTTTAGGTCATGAACCCTCGGCTCTGGACACAGTGGAGGCCTTTGATCCTCAGAGGAAGAAGTGGGAGAGGTTGGCACCTATGAGCTTCCCAAGATGCTCCGCCTCCTCCATTGTCATCAGAGACCGCCTCCTGGTGGTGGGGGGAGTCAACCAGGTACAGAAGGCCTCAGTGTAACTGCAAAGGTTTTGTTCTGTTGAACAGAAAGTAATTACAGTAACTTAGCAGCTGATGCTCACTGTTTAGAAAAGAGGAAATACATATTTTTATTTCTAGTTTATTTATAATATCACCCATCATGTGGAGCAGCAGCTGCTGCTGAGTGAGAGTTCACGTTTGTGTGTGGATGTGTGTAGCTGTCTGTCGACTTACTCACTGCATGTCTGTCCATGAGGATCACACCTACGCAGATCCGTCCTTGCTTTACTCACTTCACACCACAGTGCTGGAGAGTAACGTCCTACTTCTCCCTGTGATGAGCAGTGTCATGAAACAACCGGCACTTTTATCTAATAACAAATACAGACAATAACAGCGCAGGAATGACCAAGAGTAACCTCTCTACTACACAATTATCAAAATTAAACCTGCTCATCCATAGTATTCAAACTGTTGATAAAAATCGACAAGGCGTTCCAGATATGAAGCCAAACCACTGCCATCTTGCACACCTGGAGCCAGTGTGCACAGAAGTGATCAGGGGATGGTGCATGGCTTGACGAATCCCAAGTCTCTGTCAAGTGTCAGTCATGATGTTTCACCTTGTTTTCCTTACATCAAATAATTAATCAAAACCAAATGAATCAGAAACATGAGCACTAATCAGTCAATCAATCAAATTTTATTTGTATAGCCCGTATTCATAAATCACAATTTTTCTAATAGGGCTTTAACAAGGTGTGACATCCTCTGCTCTTAACCCTCAATAAGAGTAAGGAAAAAACAAATTAAAAAAACTTAAACAGGGGAAAAGAACATAGAAACCTCAGAGAGAGCCACATGTGAGGGATCCCTCTCCCAGGATGGACAGAAGTGCAATAGATGCCACATGCAATGGAGAACATCATTATTTAGAGTAAACAGTTTGTAGCATATCCACTATCCATGATCAGATGGCAACATGATACAGGATCCGCCAATATGATCACGATCAGCCAGCACGATACAGGATCTGCCATTACTATCACGATCTCTGATTCGCGATCCATCATCATAATCCACGATTGCCCTGGATCTGCGAACAATAAGGCACAGGGACTCTGGGGAAGAAGTCAAGTCAGTAACATGTATTGATGAGACATTCATTTCTTTGATGTGATAAGGAGGGAGAAGAGGAAAGAGAAGCTCCATGTGTCATGTATCCCTCAACATTCTAGACCTATAGCAGCATAACTAAGAGCAGGTCAAAGACAGGCCTGGACCAGCTCTAACTATAAGCTTTATCAAAAAGGACGTTTTCAAGCCTACTCTTAAACGTAGAGAGTGTGTCTGCCTCCCTAACTGAAAATGCAAGATGAGGAGCTTGAGAGCTGAAAGCTCTGGCTCCCACTCTACCTTTAGAGACTTTACGGACAACAAGTAAGCCTGAATTCTGGGAGTACAGTGCTCTAGTGGGGAGATATGGTACTATGAGCTCTTTATAATTGTGGCATATTTTTAAGGGCGTTGTAGGTGAGGAGGAGAATTTTAAATTCTATTCTAGATTTAACTGGAAGCCAGTGTAGTGAAGCTAATACTGGACAAATGTGAACCCTTTTCCTGGTTCTTGTCAGGACCAGTGCTGCAGCATTCTGGACAAGCTGCAGAGTCTTCAACGATTTACTGCTGGAGCCTGATAATAAGGAATTACAATAATCAAGTCTGGATGTGACAAAGGCGTTGACAAATTATTCTGCATCTTTTTGAAACAGGACATGTCTGATTTTAGATATGTGACATATATGAAAGAAGGTGAAAATTTGTGGAAAAGGCGGGGTTTATGACCTGTACTGCAGCCAGCCACCAGGGGGCGATGGACATCAAATCCTTCTCCAGCTTCAACTGTGTTTTCAGGGACAGAAGTTTCTTCTGTTTCTCATCTTAAATCTAAGTCTCTCTCAGATGATTTATTGACTCTCTAAATTGTAAATCAGTCATAATCAGGCCTCCGCTCCGTCGACTGATTGGTCGGGCAGGATATTAGAAAACAATTTCTGCTGGAATCAAAGCAAATATACCTTGTATATTACTATGGATTACAAAGAATCAATTGTAAGAGAAAAGTATCCAGAAGAAAGTGAAGTGCTGTGCAGAGTTTACTCCAGTTTATTCCTGCCTTCAGTGAAGGAAATTAGATTTGTTCAATACTAATTTGAACACTTAGAGACCAGAACAGGTGATGTAGAGAAAGCCACCATTTGAGGATTGTGCAAAATAAGGGACATTGTACAACATTGTGGCCTAACGTGAGATTTCAAGGACTCGTTAATGCAAACTATGTGAAACCAAACACCGTCCGAGCTACAGATTCAGACCTGCAGCTTCAGTTCAACCTGCACCACAGTAGAATTGTAGGGAAAATATTTTAAAAACAGTTAGAAGAAATTAAGTAGTTTATGGTTAATTAGAGTTGAGGTTTGTCAGCTGCTGTTGCCAAGGAAAGGAACTCTTAAGCCCAACATATGACACTTTAAGAAAGGTCACAGACAATTGACACTTCATCTCAGATCAGATTTGATCCTGAAGTTTCTTAATATTAATCCCGGTTTATAGATTGTTTAATAGGAGAAATTAAAGATAACGAATTGACAAAAATTAATAACTGCAGTTTCAAGCTTACCATGTTCAATCTGTATTTCTTAGTTTACTCAAAGATGTAGTATGTACCTCTATGACATTTCTTCATTTAATTATCTAAAACCAATTAGACCTATGTTATAATTTTGTTGACTTGTTTATTGATCCAAAATGTTTCCAACAAAGTTCAAAACACACAAATCCCCAATTATATTCAAGGTACAATGACGTTTCATTTTGGTAGACTTTTAATTACACCGATCTGTTTAACTGTGGCTTTGCTTATTTCTGCTTTTACTTTTGGGGCAGATGACATATGACGGAGGAATAACACACTGTTAGCCAGTTAGCCTGTCAGCTGTTTTTCCCTTCTACTGTTTGTATTGATCACTCATAATAGATCATGATGATTCATTTGCTGCCTAACATGAATAAAACGTAAATTATCTCATCCATGAACATGATTCATAATGATGACGAGTCTCGTCAGATAGATTTTCATCGGGAATGCTGGTGAAGACAACCACTCCAATGTTACCATGCTGCTTCACTGTTTCTTCAAACTGGGTCTTGTTTTGATTGCGAGACGCCAAAGTTACATTTTGTACATTTAAAGCCTCCAATCACTTGATTTCATTCATATATAAAACATCAAGTATCCATGACTAAAATTGTGACATTGCAATTGTAAGTCAGTTGATTCAGTCTTGCTAAATGCTGACTGGTGAACTGTATGACGTAACGTGAGCTCTGTCCGCCTCCAATCAGTTAATACAGAAACAACAAAAAGTTGGCTACTCACATATAGAAAATATGTTATATTGTTCTTTAATACTCACTGAAGACTGTAAATCCTTGAGATAAAAGCACAAAGAAAGCAGCCAGAGAGAAACAAAACCCTGCAACATTAAAAACACTGCACCTATCACTTTAGAATTAATGAAACTGTTCTGTGAGTGACTGAGCAGCTCCCCCTTGTGGAAAAATCTTTTGCACATGAGCGTCATCCAACATCTCAATATCTAATTATTGACAGTATTGATTGTTATTAACCTGATTCTTGTATCATGGTCTGAAAGAAAATAAGACTTTTGTTTTAAGGTAGATAACTCTTAATTCTATTTGGTTTGCTCTTCCACTAAGTGACCTGGTTATGTTTTAATACTCGTACCTGTTATCGTTAAAATACAATACCTGGCAGACTGACCTAAAACAGGTTCAGCTATTGACAAGGGACCGTGTTCACTTACTATGTCAATAGAGAAACTCTCCCAGCCTTTAAATCTTCACTATCTTTATATTTTGTTCTCTCTCAGGTTCCCAGCTCAGCCCACGAGATCCTCTATGTGAAAGAAGAAGAGTGTGTGTAGCCTATAGACTGAGACTGACCCCAAATCAGATTCCAGCAACCCTCCTGAATCCGACTGTAGTGCAGTGTGTACGAAGCTTTGAGAACACTGAGGCAGATGGAGTCGTGACGTGTGCAACAGATAACACTTCCCCCTGTTGGACTGCACTGACACTGAGACCCATATGGAAGCACACAATGGAGAAGCTGGCTCTTTCTTCACCCCAACTCATGTCTCCTGATACTTTCAGTATGTGACACTTCTGCGTTGTACGTTGTTGTGCATACTTTGGGTAAGAGAACATTTTGTAGCGAACATGTCTAGTACTATAGACTGAGAATACATGGAAGACCTGTGTTTTTGGGGTACATGCATTTCATGTTTGTTAAAATGTGTTTATTTGTGATCAGCTTGCTAACAACTGAGCATATGTAGACAGTGTGATTTCCATATAAGATTTTTATCTAGTTTGATGAAACATGCAATATTATATAAAGAAAGTCATTACAAAAGAGGGAGGTTTATTTATAAAACTGTACAGTAACAACATTTGCACTGAAGCATCAACAGTGAGTGGAGGTTGATTCTAATATCAATAATTTCTGGTCTAGTGTATTGTAGTTATTACACTGCGAATGCTGTACTACCACTTATCTGTGCTGTAACAGTGCACATTTGTGATTTTTACCATAGATCTGTTTAAATGAACTGCATATATGAAGAGATTAGATGTATGAAATGACCAAATGGATGTTTAAGTGATGTGTTTACGTGTTGGTTTAGGCAAATAAGAGGATGATTGTACACATTTGATTCCTGAGCAATACAAATGTCTCTTTTATTCAGTGTTTCATTTGTGCAACATGTGCTGTGCAGTAATTATCATCACTTACTAACTTTTTAGTCAAGTTGTGATATTGCAGACTTGTTTTTGTGACTTCAGACATGGTTTTATGTTTACTGTCATTATAAACAACACAAGACTATTGTCACCTGTAGAATATTTTCATTGTATTAAGGATTCAGTTTATTTGATCCTACCTGATCATTCTCTATTATGTCAAATAATCGTATAGGACACGAGTCTTCATATTCAATAGAATAAATGGGAATTGTGTTTTGTATCGCACTTCTTTGGCACTAGATGGCAGTGTTCACACACATGCACTCCAACATGAGCATGTGAGAGCTTCTTTGAATCAAAGCTGTGCAAGCTGACTGCATATAGTACTTATAAGTGGCTGTGATGATAAACTAGCTGTCAGTTTAACGCTATCACATACAGTAGTTGTCATGATTACATAAAGATGACCAACAAGACAGATATTAGTAATCAGTGCATCAACATGAAGAGTCATTTTCCTGCCTTAAACTGCAATAATCAAAAGTATTGAGTGCAAAATGCTCAGTACACCAAACTAACAAGTCTTAGCTTCCAGTGCATTACTAGCTATCAGCATGTAGAGATCTGGTCAGAGCCCTGGAGTTGATTTAAATGGGGAGTAGTTGAAACAGGTGGGCGGAGACACGTATTAGATAAGACAGATCACACTGATAGTGTGTGTGTGTACATGTCGGGTTTCAGTGTGAGTCCTGGCGACAGCGGGTCGACTGAGTGCTTTGGCCAGCAGCCAGTCTTTCAATGTGCTAACCACCAGCCAGTGTCCCAGTGTGGCCTGTTAGCCTCCAGTCTGGACTCCAGTCAGCAAGTCTTTGCTCCGCTACCTTCCAGCATGCTAACACCTCAGCCTGCATTCCGGCCAAATTGGCTGGAGTTAGTGAGCCTGCAGCCTTCCTGTCTTAAACCAGCTAGTCCACTGCTCCTGCTCCCAAGCCAACCACTTTCCTTTATGGCCCTGGAGACTGTGATTAGTTCTCTTACTCTAGAACTTGTCTGACTATTTCCCCGAGATATCTATGGGTTGAAGACCCCAGAAGAAAAGTAGGTAAATGAGATGATGATCTTCCAAGCTGCCCTGCTCCACAGAGCCAAAGGCTACATTCATACAACTATGTTTGCTACAGATACGTCTGATCTCTTAGAGTCGCTAAAACAGAGAAGTTTGGAAACACTGTCCGGACCCTGAGTTGGCCAGTTTGACATCTTGTTTGTCCATGTGTCAGTCTTTGATTGACAGTTTTGCATTTACAGTCAACACCTCCATGCCGCCATTGTTGTGTGACAATAGACATTTGTCCCTCAATAAAATCGAAGTCTTGCTGCAAGATAAGAAGTAGGAAGTGGGACTTTGAGTGCCATGTGACATTGTATTCTTTATTGCAGATCAGAAAATCTCAGCCTCTGAGTTGCCTGGAAAGCAGCATTATATCATTTGTCCCCACTCACCGTCAAACCATCTGCTCACATTTCTGTCTCTATTCAATGATTTTTCCTTTGTATCAGCCTCCTTTTTTATTTTCCTGTTGCACCTGGAGACCTTTCTGCCATCGTGTCCACACATCTGACTGTAGGCCTGTTGTCTCTTCCAAAAAGCTGCTTTATTGCATCAACATATTTATGTGACTGCATTCAGTCCTCTGCCACTCCTGTCATCAGAAATCTGTATCAATATGCATAACAGAATTGTTTGCATGTTAACCAGTGACTGCATATAAAGATGGACGGCTATTGCCCCCTAGTGGTTGGCTGCAGTATTGGTCATAATCCCTGTCTGTTTGTTAGTTAAAGTGATTTGGACCAAACTAAAAAGTTAAAGTGCAAGATAAATACAAGTATTTTCTGTGATTTTTGGTAGTTCTCATCACGTCAAGTTCAAATGCTCTTGTTTCTGATATGTTTGTTTATTTGAGGCTATAATATTTGTTCCAAATTCCAACACCAGCACAAGATGGCAGCACCCACATCTGTGTCCACATTTTTGTGTCATTCTGGTACAGTGGGAGGAAGTGGACACACGCCACCCATCTTTATATACACTGACTGACACTAACATTAGTGTGTGTATCTCAGCATTGTCTCAAGTAGCTGTTGTCTTCTTCCAAAATGTCATCTGTTTTTCTACCTACCTACTGTTTGAATGTTTGTACTCTGAAAACCTGCTTGAATGGCAAGAGTTTTATTTTGAAACTCCAGATTTGCAATTTGCTGTGTATCTATTGTGGTAGAACAGATTCTCTGTTAAGAAGAGGGATATGCCGATAATGTTCATGTTTTAGGAGCCTTCTTTTTACATGTATACAGCACATTGGTAATGAGCATCTCATGTGTAGCGTTTGTGACATAATTTACTGTCAGCTCTGTGTGTCGGACACAAACCAAAGCTGGGGCAGGGATGCATACACTAAATAAAAGCCCACATTTCTGGAAAAACACACTATTTTTAAACATTATGAAGTCATTTATTTGGACCCAATGAGGGGCAGTTAAGTTAGGTAGAGCCGAGCCCTCATTTGTTTTACATTAACCAGAGCTGCATGGCTACATGGCAGAGGGAATTAATAGAAGAAAATTTGCTTTTATTAAACATGGAGCATTTTAGAAGAAATGTTTTCTTTTTCTGGATTAAGGGCAAACACCTGAATGTTTTGTGCGTGTTAGTGTAGTGAATGTTACAGCCAGGTTTGATGGTTGTTCAGGCTCTTGAGGTCAATGCTTATTCACAGCTTACTCTACATCTACGCTAACTTCCTGCGTGAGGATAAATGACTCATGCACACACACACACATTCAAGACATCATCCAATCTAAAACGGGCTGATTGCATTCAAGTGCGGCAGGCTGCGTGTCTTGAGCGCTCTCTGTGGCTGCTCTATTCCTCTCTGTGTTTTTTCCACATTAACTCAGTTAGACTAATTTCCCTGAAAAAGCAGCAGAGACACTGAGTGGGGGCGGGTATTAGCCTACACCAGTGACACTGGCTTGAATGTTGACACAAAGTTTAAATACGTGACTGACGGAAATAAATGTGTATTTAATGGAAAATATGTCTGAAAAGGGAAAGAGAAAATGCAAATGGCCTATAATCTTATAAGTGAAAGTTCAGCCACAGTTTATTTATGCTGCCCCTGATAGATAGTAAAGGCACACTGATAACTGAGCCAAGACAATGACACAACATATTTATAAATTAGTTTGCTCCGTTCATTTTAACTGAGTTTAATCTTCAAAGAGGAAAATGGTGAATAGAATGTTGCATGGAAGGTACAGTCTGATGAATAACAACCGGTCAATATTAGTATTAATGTTTTGTAGATGATCTCATTTGCAGTAACGCAGAACATTGTCAAGTCATGTCATTAGACACTTCAGCTGCTACATGCTGCAGACTCTGCTTCATGTCCCTTCACTGTGCGTCACTGTGAGTGTGACAGAGGAAAAAAGGGACACAAAGTCACAGTGTCCTGAATCAGCTGTGATCTTTTTCTGAGCTCAAGGTTTTTGAACCTGTTGCATAACATATGGGAACAAGTATATTTACACACTGAAATATTTCAGAACAATATTTATGCGTATGTGCCTGTGTATGTGTGTGAATATAGGTACATGGTGGTGGTGGGAGTAGTCTGCTCAAAGTATGTGATGAATGGTATTATTTACACTCCCAACCCAGAGGACAAATCTGTTATGCTTGACGGACGAGACATGACATTCAAGCCTCAGTACATGGGATGCCGGCTCTACCAAGAAGCAGATTTTTTTTTTATTGCAATGTAGGACATAAACTCTTTCCCATGTCCACAGATTGGATAAACTAAAAAGTCAAAACACTTCAAATACATTTTTCCAAGATACAAGATGGTTTCTGTCATTTTCGGTAGTTATTATCACTCTGATGTATGTTCATGTTTCTGATAATTTTGATATTAATCATTTATTTAATGCTGTAAAATTGAGTTGAAATATTATTGTTGTCAGTTGAGACTAACTCATGACAAGTTGTGTTTCATGGGATCAAGTAGTTCAACGTTGAAGCTCAATTTCCAATTTATAGTCAAAAAAATTATACAATTATACACATTCCATGAATGAACAAGAAGCAGGAGGAAAAAAGATCTTCAAATAAAGAAATACAGATGGGCAACCTTTTATTTTCACAAATCACAAAACAATCAAATATACATTAATCAATCGCCATCATCATAACAAATATATTTCTTAAAGGTCCAGTGACCTTGAAGATTTAACTTAAGATCTATTGGCAGAAATTGAATATAAAATAATCCTAGTGATGTTTTCACTTGTGTGTTTCATCTAAATTGTACAAATGGTTGTTTCTTTACTCTAGAATGAGCCCTTTATATTTAAATACTTTATATTTACATAGGGAGTGGGTCCTCTCTATGGAGACCGTCATGTTTTTTTACAGTTGTACTGGACAAACTAAACACCTTTTGAGTTTTTATGAGAACTAAAGTTCACCACATGCTGAGCTTTTCATGTTTGGAAGGGGACGGTGAGGTGAGGGGTACTAAGCTGCAACATGAAACTTCACCACTAGATTCTACACACTGAACCTTTAATAGGTTAGACTGTTGAATTTTTTTTTAAATATCTACATTTTTTTCTTAAATTGAATATTGTTTGAGCAAAGATTTCCAACCATTGTCCAGATAATTTGTGTTTTCTTTGATGAGGTAATCCTTTTTATTTTTATGAAAACCATGACTTCAGACTGGCTTGAGTTACACATTACAATTCACAACAGTCCACATGTGCTAATACATTACAATGAAAAGCCAACTGACAGAAATAGAAGCAGGTGTGACATTTGTTTGAATGGA